TTATAAAAGTAATTTTCATTATATACAACTTAAAAGAGTCAGAAAAAATATATGAAAGGAAATACTATCATTTATGGTCATATGACTCAACATTTTCACATTTACCTCTGTTAAAATTGTTTTATTTCTAGTCAGAGATTTAAATTTTTTAAATTTTATTTGTTGACATATATGTACATATAATTTTGTATCATGACTTCTTCTCTAAAAGGTATGTTTTCTAAAGAGAAATACTGATAAATAAATATAAACCAAGTTAAGTGAGACTTTGCTATAGAAGCAGTACCTAAACATGTATAACACATTTTCAAGCCCCTTTTACACACGTCACCTTTTACTAGTAAGTCATCTTATTATATTGAGTGATTTGACCATCACCAACCAACGGTTGTAAATATTGTTAACATTGGTTGCAAGAAATAAAATCCTTAAAGATGACATCAAGAAAATATCTTTTTTGCCTTCATCTTGTAGTAATCTGGTACCAGTATTTACTAAATATTTACCACATATTTACTAAAGTGTTGCTTTAAAGCTGATCACAGAAGATTGGAAATCCTTGGGATTATTCATCGGTAACTCATCCAATTTTGATGACTCATGTGTCAGGGCAGAATTTAGAAAAAGGAGAAATGTTAGGCTAAAACATTAATGTTTCAGTTTCCAGCAATTTCAGTGCGTATCCGTCTGTATGAAGTTTACTGCCTCAAACTTTTTGATCCCTGTTCATATTACAGTGTAAAAATAATTTGAAAAGTAATCAAAACAATTCTGCCAGCCTACCTTTTCTTTGGCTTTGTTAGAGCCAATGATCCTCTGCTTCTCCAATGAGGCCAAGCATCTCAGAAGAGCTTTTCAAAGTGCTAATACCTATTTCCTAATATGTATACTTAAGCAGCATTTCTATATTTTTTACCTCTCCATTTAAACTGCTAATCATTTAAAGTTATGAATATAAATATTTAGCTCCAAAGTCAACCTAATGTGTCTTAGTGAATTTCCTATAATACTAAAAATGATTATGAAACCCTAATTTCTCCAATAAGCCATATTTTTATACTTCTTCTAAAATATTTAGCTCTTTAGTATAGACTGTATAAGGAAGGACTAGACATATTCTATTATGGTCAAAATACTAAGCCAAAATTCATCTGCTGCTGAAAAATGACAAAAATGCCCCTTTTTGTTTTAAATAAATTATAATCGCCACTAGCACACAAAAATGTGAACTTGAGAAATGGAAGTTATTTGTTAATCTAAAAGCCTTTTTTTAAAAAAAAAAAGATTGACAGGATTAAATATCAGTTTTCTGCATATGTGGTGTGACATTTTCACTTTGTTCCAAGTTATTTTATTTTTGTGTGACTCCAGAGTTTGTAAACATGCCATAAAATTTGGTAATTACATAATGATGATTTCATGGTTCTAGCTTAGTATAAAGGTAGCTAGACAGAGCAGCAAAATTGATTTTCTTTTTTACCTTAATGGAAGGAAACAAAAGGAAATTGCATGCAAAATCTGCATTAAGACCATCCTAGAATTATAATTCAGCCATCTATTACACATGAAATGAAAACCAGGTCAGGTGTTCATTAGTGTGTTATGATGTTCAGCCAACAGGTGAAGTTCAAACAACCTTCTGTTGAATCCATGCCTTGTTTTGTTACCCAGAATGTTCCAGATGCATATGACTTGACACTATCTCTTGTTGTCTCCTCTTGCCAAAGGTACTGAGAGGCAGGACTGTCCCTAGGCAAAATCATGAAGTAGGTGAAACTTGTTTTTATTCCCTATCCTTTTGCAATGACAGTCTCACCTTAGATTCTTTCTCCTTCCCTGTCCCCAGGTGCCTATTCCCATTGCTCATTGCTTTGGATTTACCCGTTTTCCCGGAGGCTCATACTGTTTCTTGTTGTCCAGTCCCTCTTTGATTGTATAATTTTCTTGCTCAAAAATGTTGAGTGGCTCCCCAAGAGGAGCCAGGCAGTCAAGATGGTCCCTCCTTTCCTTTGGAGTCGCAGGCCTTCACCACTCATCTCCATTCATTTTTATTTGCACACTGTTTTCCATACAATTCCTTTTGCTTGAGCAGGCCTTCACCACTCATCTCCATTCGTGGAAATCCTAACCATCTTTCAAGGCTCCACTCAGCTGTACCTCCTCCAAGTATCTTCCCTAATCACCGCAGCCTCTCTCCTCCACACCTCATCTGTACCACTCCTATGACACTTACCATTTATGTGTATGTATTATAATATTTATGTGTATGTCTCCAAGCACTGTGCTGGGTCTTTTATAAACATAATCTTATTTAAATTTCACAACAATCTGATGTGGTAGGTGTTACTCTACCACTTAACAGCTAAAGAAACTGAGGCTCAAGTAGGTTAATTTGCCCAAGGCCACACTGCTAGAAAGTAACAGAGCAAAGACCTAAACCCAGATCCAAAACATACATTCTTTCCACTGAACCATGTTGCCATTTTTTAGTTCTTTCCCTTCTTTTGAAAGATGGATGGAGCTATAAGCTGGAGGAAGAGGCCAACTTAGCCTTTCTAATGGTCAAATATGTATTCAACAAATAGAATGTATTAGTAATTACTGTATTCCTAGGTAGAACTGATTGGTTAATGACAGCCCATGAGGAATTCAATTAAAATATGAAAGAAAATAAAAAATCCGTACCTAGAGTTGCCAGAATAAACACAACATAAGAAGACAGTGTTCAAGAAAATTTGTAATTCAAGAAAGGCTAGATAGCATTGGATTTGAGCACTACTGGGAAATAAGTACAAGGAAAAGAAGTCAATGTGGGGTTGACTAGGAAAGGCTTCTGATAAGTCCCCTAGGATTTTAACCATTTGGGGTGGTTAGGAGACTGAAGCTCTGCTGATCACTCTTAATCTCTCGTGAACTGACAATATCTCTATTGAGTATAAAGTCTATTTTTGTCATTCTGCCCTAGTGTGGCATCTTGAGTAAGTTAGGGGAAAGAAGCTTAGTGCTTTTAAGAGAGAAGTCTCATCCCAAATGGACTGCTTTTACAACTATCCTCAATAGCACCCGGGACCAGGGAGTTTCAGCTCACCTAGACCTCTCTATTCTGGGAAGTCTTCAAGCGAGGACCTTCCTCTTGCCGGTCACAAGGCAGAGGCCCATCCCTGGAAAGAATTTAGACTTTGGATCTCTATGTGTTTTGCACCAGAGGCTAAATAAATAAATAAATAAATAAATATTTGCCTTTGTTTCTGCTCTTTTATTCTTATCTCATTTCCCATTCCCCTCTACTTGTCATATTATCAGTTGTCTATTTCTTTAACATGAGTAAGATTCAGTTATCATTAAACATGTATTCTCAGTGCTCCTCTATTAACTCCTGAGTCATTCAATGTTGTTTTCAATCTCCATTTGAATTTATGCATGCTCGCTGTATGCTAATCCCATTCATATTTGGCTCTACAGGTTTGTTCCTCATACCAATCTTAGTAATAATTTAAAACTTATTATTTAGGAAAAATAGTGCATGTAATCTAAGCTTGACTGTAGCATGTCATACTGGACTTCAGGTCCTACCCTAGAAAGCCAGAGGATTTATGTTTCAGTTATGTGCTAAATCTGAGGAATTCAGCAAGCCTAACAGGAAAACCACCTTCATCCAACTGGAAGAAACTCAAAAACAAAAGCTCTTTTTTCTTTTCTTTAAAGTGTTAATGATTTTTCTTATTCTCTAAAAAAAGTCCTCAACGATCATTTGCATTTTTTGTCTTACTTTTAATTTTGAAATAGTTATAGATTCACAGAAATTACAAAAGAAATGAAAAGGGAGGTTTTGTATACCCTCACCTCATTTCACCCAATGGTTACATCTTTCATATTTATAGGGAACTAACAAAGCCAGGGAATTGACATTGGTCTAATTCACTTTTAAATTTCAAAAGAGGAAAAAAAAAATATACCCTAACGACAACCTAGTCAGTTTTAAATTTCATTCTATATTCTCTTTCTGTTCACACTAAGTGATAACCAGGTTGGCATTCCTGGAAAACAAAGGGTGGTCTGCCCATAGGACCACGGAGAAAGTCCCCCCACATCTTTAGAGGTGATCCTCAGCTCTCATTCGATTCCTAGGTCAAGGTTACAGCAGAGCCCACATCCTGTTGGAATCAGGTTCTGCTGCCAAACATGTGACCTTGAGCAAGTCACTTGACCTCTCCAAGCTTCAGGGTTTTCAAATATAATAAAATGGAGAAAATATTCTCCTGCCTACTTCATAGGGTTTTGTGAGGATCAAGTGTGATGATGTGTAGGAAGGGATGAGGTAAGCTGTGCATCAGCAATCATGAAAGTTTCTATTCTTTTCTCAAAATATTGCCAGTTACCAAAGTGTAGTTTTTCAGAGGTAGTTTTCTTCTTAGAAACAGAATAAAACCACTTCCTTATTAGCCACCAGGCCAAGAATTTCCATCAAGTGTAAATGACCTTCCTTTCCTACCACTCTTAGTAGGACAGGTACTAGCAATGTGTTGGACAAGCACTCCCTGACTCATTACCTACATACCCCTGAGGCATGCGATCTATTTTAAAATAAATATTTCTTAACATTTTCTTCTAAAAGGTCCAATGCATTTTAAGGAGCTTTTATTTTTGTTCTGACCGCAGGATTCAGCCTTACTTTTTTTTTCTTGCACCATGAGATGTATATACAATAGGTGGTTTTGACAATAGTGAGAAATTGATGGTTTATGAAGTAGAAACGGAAATCCTCCAAGCTGCATTGTGCCTTGGTTTGTCTGGATGTATAATATAAACTCCCCAACTCACTGGTGGATTCTGGTGTGTGGATAGTAAAAATGCTTGTCTTGTCAATGGAGAAATATGTAGGAGAAAATAAACTTAAATCAAGGAAAGGAAAGATAAAAGTCTTTGTGTGCAGTGAAAGTTTGGGCCACCACAATAAAAATGTTAAGATCTGTTTTCTCTCCTCTCCCTCTTCTATGCAGGCTGGCATGGCTCTGACCTATGACCCCACAGCTGCCATACAAAATGGGTAAGTAGCCCACATTTTCTCTCCTCTAATTGCTAAGATGTCTCTGAGCTCTGAAATCAGTACTGAAGAAAAATGTTCAAGTCTGTCTTGTGTTTTAAATCTCTAAACCAAAATGATAAACCAAACATTTCTCACCATTGTATTTTTTCTGTGCCCATGAGTGACTGACTTCAGAGCCTCTCCCATGTCACCCAGTCTCCCAGTACCTCTGCCCATATTAAACTCTCTATGTTCTCTCGGGAACTGTCCTTACTTATTACAAACCGAAAGGGGAAAGAGTGAAGTTTCAGCTCCCAGTCTGAGCAGCCAAAGGTGAAGTCTGGGCGGTGCCATGTTTGAGGCAGTGAGGACTGCCTGGTAGACAGGGAACATTTCTCCCTTCTCCTGCAGGTCACCACCTCTGTGCCCTGTTGCCATAGACTGAGATATATCTCTTTATCTTAGATCACTGCTATGCGATGTGTCTTTATCTGTGTCTTCTATTAACAGTTCAGTGTTGGATTCTTTTAATTATTTCAACAGTTGCAAAATGGTTCACTCTCTTCTTGCTGCTTATTAGATACTTAAAATAATGAATATTTCCCTCATGAAACAAATTTTATTTAAGATGCTGAGGATACCCATTGATTTAATCTACTCTCTTATGATACAGAATGTATTCCCATCAATCCATCCCTGCCTTCAATACCTTCCTGTACAATGTACACTGAACATTCCTTTCAGCCTACAGATATACTCACATCTCTCCCTTCTTTTCACAGGTCCACAACTTCAGTCTTATATGCATGCTGTCTTCCTGTATTCTTCTCTAATTATTCCCATTAAAGTATGAAGTCTGGTCTCAAACTTTACTGGAGTTTCCCTTGCTGATGCCCTCAATGATCTTTGAATTTTCCATTTGCAACTGTAACTTTTTGAGCCTTCTATTTGAAATCTTGCCTCATTTGGCATATTTTTAACCCATTTATACCTTCCTGAAATTTCTCATTTGGATCCCACAACTCCTTCCTTTGCTGATCCTCTTTGCTCCCCACTCTTACTGATCATTCAGTATCTTCTTATTACACCTCTTCTGCCCACTTTTGCTCATCTTTCTCAGAGCTTAGTCTTTTTTCATTGTCTTCTCTCTGGTGATCTCATCCACTGCTCTCGCTCTTAGGAACTGAAGACTCCCAGGTCTGGTCTTCAAGTTCATAACCAGATGCACAGCTTTATAACCTGTGTTTCTAACAGCTCACTAGGTATAGCTACTGGATATCTGTATATGTTCCAAATAGGTCATTACCCTTATCAACTCTTCATAATATAAACCAAACTAATGCAAATGAAAAATAAGTATCAAATTGTTTCTTTTTTAATTCACTCTAAAATAATTTAGACTGTTAACTCCAGTTCTGTTTTTTTCTCTTCTCCAACATTCTTCATGATCAAATTGGTCATTACGTTTTATTTGATATATCTTTGAACTATAACTTCAACACTCAGCCCGTCTGCCTGCTACTTGTTGAGTTCATTCATTCACTATTATCTACCTGTGCTAAACTTTTACCTGCCTCTACTATAACTCTCCTCCAAACCATTTCCTGATGCTTTTTCAATAATTGTTTAAAAGCAAAATATGATCTTCGAAATCATCTACCTGCCAGATTTGAAGTATTTGGTGGACTTTACTATCTGCAGAACAAAATTAGGGCTTCCAAGGATGGCACGAAAAGAACTACATGGTTTGGTTCTGAAACTGAACTGGACCTTCTGTGATTCTCAGAATATCTCACACAATTTTACTTCTCTGTGTCTTGTTGTTCATGGAATTCTGTCTGCCTGGTTCTCAGGCATGGTAATCTCAATCGTAATCTCAATCTCAATCTCTCTCTCTCTCCTCCCTCCCTTCTCCTCTCCCTCCTTTTCTCCCTCCCTGTTTCCTCCCTCCCTCTCTCCCTCTCTCCCCCGCTTTCATCTTCACTCCCTCCCTCCTTTTTCTCTCTTTCTGTGTATACAGCTCTCATTTAAAGAACAACATCACATCATACCTGGCAGCGCTGGTTACACAATTAGTCATAAGAAAAGCAGTATAAGCAGTGGTTAAGAGTGCAGACTCCAGAACCAGCCTGCCCAAATACGCATCCAAAGGCTGTCATTCACCAGAAGTGGGCAAGTTGTTTGTCTTCCTCCTCTGTGAAGGAGGAGACAATAGTAACAGTACCTTTTCCTAAGACTTGGTAAGGATTAAAGGCACCCTGAATGGTATAATGTAATCATTAGTGTAAATGTGGATGCTACCATTGCAGTATATTTGATGTTCCCATGGTACATTTGAGTCTTTTTATCATGCAGCCATTGACCCTGGCATTTATTTCCCTACTGGACTATTAATGAAGGCAGGTCCCATGTCTTATTCATCTTTATAGACTGTTTAACCTAGCATTGTGCGTGCCAAGTCAGAAATAGAAATGTAACTGATGACATCTGTTTGGCTCCAGCAAGTTGGCATTAGAACCATTTCCCTTCCCGACATCAACCCACTGTGTCCCCATGTAATGCCTTAATCTGATTCTCCTTAAATACAACCTCTAGTTTCACTCAAAACATCCAAACTGCCCATGACTTTCTTATATCCTAGATTAAGAATAAAGTTTTGGAAGCCTTATACTATCCATTGTGACAAGAAAATAAACATGTTATATAGTAAAATTGAAAAGAAAGAGAGGATAGTAGCTAATTAATATTATTCATTTCATACTTAGTATAGATGATTTTAAAAATGTTTTGCTCATCTTTGGTTTCATTATCTATTTATAAAATGTGCAAAAAAAAACTAGTAGAACAATCATTTCTATGCATGTAAGATATCAAAATAACCACAAATATATTATTAATGTACTGTCCCTGGAGTAAACATTAGTCCATGCCTTTTAGAGGTATAGAATCTGATTTGGATAAGTTAGTTTATTGAGGAATCTAGCATGAATCCAGAATAAAGTATTTTATTCCCTGTTCATATTGCTGCATTTCATCTAGCAGTTAAACCTTCCTCAGGGAACAGTAACCAAACAGAGAGAGAAATATTTATTACCGTAGGAATGAAAACTGGTCCCATTTTACATAGAACAAATGATATCCAATGATACAGTTGCAACTCATTCTTACCCAGTTAATATTACTAAACACTTATTCATGCTGACTCAGTTGAGTTCAACAAACTCTTTTTCTTTAGAGTATCTATCTATTGTTCTATTTAAAATCATTTTGATGATATATGTTTGAAAAAATAAAATTTTTGCATCATATCAAGGACAATGGACATGTAGACAATTCTAGTATAAGATATAATGGAAAGGTATTGTGATAGAATCATGGAGTAGTATGAGATTTAGATATAGATTAATTTTTATATGTATAAAATATTTCTGAAAGGGTACACAAGAAATGGTGAGAACAGTTCTCAGGGGAAAGCCAGTGGAAATAGGAGTGATAGGAACTTAATTTTCACTGTTTATGGTTTTGTATTCTTTTCAAAAAGAAAAAGAATTAAGACCATAAAACCACAGAGAATAGGCATTCTAACAAGGGATTAGAAAGCTTCTTCATGGGACATGGCACTGTCTTTTTCTCTTGTAGATGCCCCATGTCATAGCTAGAGTACGTATTTGATGATTCCATGGTGTCCCGTAGCTGTATACTCAGCCATAGTGTTTTCTGAGTATCATAAGAAAATGCGTGCCTGGGTTCTCACTAGTAGCTACACAAACTGTTAAATGTTCTGAATTTTATACCCCCCACATTAATAAGCAATATGAAGCTCAAATAAATACTCCCACGTTTATCTTGGTTTTTAGCCAATGAAAAACATACATTTGTAAATGTTGACCACGGTGAATCTATGCTGTTTGCATTCGGGCAATAGAAAATGTCAGTTTTGTCATCTGCTTGGATCTATCCAAAATATTACTTTAAAAAAGTTAGTTCAATGTCCCTTCTATCTAAGGCTTTGACGGTTATAGTGAAGAAGTGTCTGGGTCACAATGGAAAAGTAAAAACCGTAGTATTTTTTTTTCAGAGGTGAACTTATGAAAATAAAATAAAAAAGTCCCTGCTTTTTCAAAGCTATTCAGTATAACTCCGTAATTTGTTATTACTGTTGCCCTCTTGCTTTTTTAACAGTCCAGTATCAAATTCCATCACTTTCAAATATGAATGTGGGAGGTGAATTACCCATCCCTCTATTCAAAACCTCATCTTCCCTGCACCTTTTTATTGGGGCACACGATGCTGTGTAGAAGGCTCTTGGATCATCTTATTTGAATAATATGCATTCTTGGGAGAGATATGGAAAAGAATGTGTTCTATAGCATTGGTTTGCTGGCTATTTTATATGGGCATTTGATAGTAAGTGATGCAGAAACCTTATCTTATTACACTAGCACAGAAATGGAATGTGAAGGGTACATTGGCATTACAATAAAAATGACCAATAACTTATTAATCTTATGCTACAGTGTTACCCTGAGGACAGCATTCACGGTTCTGACTCACAGTGTTGCCTGTAGACAGAAAAGACAAGCCAGTGCTGTTTATTTCAGTGTGCAAATAGGATTTGGTGTGATTTTCTACTGTAAAACACATTCTACCCTAGAGTTATTGATATATTCATGTTACTTTTATTGTCAGCGCACTAAGATTTCCCCATATTCCTACTGACTGCCAAGTCCCCTGAAGATGACTTTTCTACAGTCAGGATAATGTCCTGTTAGAGACCTAGACTTGCATTTTCTGGACTTGTGGCGGCCCCTTGCTTTAAATGCCAAAGAACCAAGTAACCCTTTGCATTCCTTTAAAATATTACATTTTTGAATGCCCCAGCTTAGAGTTCCATAGGCAGACCATACTTAGTTACCTTGTTTTAGCCCAGTGGTTCTCAACCTTCTGGCCCTTTAAATACAGTTCCTCATGTTGTGACCCAACCATAAAATTATTTTCGTTGCTACTTCATAACTGTAATG